GAATTTTCCCGACTGAGTTGCATAATATTATCCGGACGCGCGATGTAATGTTTCGCAAAAGAGATCGTAAATGCAAATGCGTTTTCTTCTCCAAGGAAAAACATCGAGCGAGCAGAAACTCGTACCTTTGATCGCGCGTGTCAAACGAGGAATAAAAAAAAAAAAAAAAACAAGTGGATCAGGGCAATAACGCGTTACGATTATTCACGCCGCGGTCGGCGTTTTCATTAATTCGTGCTCGCCACGCGGAATTCTGTAAAACGATTCGCGCCCGGGAAACGAGACGCGAGCTGTCACTTTCGTCGCGATAAAACTGTTTAAAACTTGTCAAAAATCTTGCGTTTCATGTTTTCCTTTGATTTACTCTCACGAATGTTGTAGCGGGATTGCGCGTGAAATTCGAAAAAAACGGAAGTGTGAAGAGGGAAATTGCCGGAAGGCGGTATTTGAAACAGAAAGTCAACACTTACAGGTGGGATGAAAGCGAGAACGGTCCAGTGCTGTGTTGTCAACAGGACCTGTCACGAGCTCTTCGCCACTGTACGAAGTATCACGAAAGTTCATGGAAAGCGGAGTCAAAGGTTGGCTTGCGTTCGCGACAGGTTTCGAGTTCTCGGATCGACTGCACGTCAGGAGCGCGCACGGCTCTCGCACATCCGTTCTCCATCGGCGTCCCGTGAAACGAAAGTCGCCATCTGACGGGAGCCGAAGAGATTGAACGAAGCGAGGGAACGATCCGTGACAGATTGGCCGAGTAGAAACGTGCTTTCTCATTCTGCCAATAATAATAAAAAGAAAAAAAAAAAAAGAAAAACGTGGTGGCTGCGGTCGTTTCGTGATTTCGTGATTAAGAAGAGGAAAATTAATTCGTAGGTAATTAATGTCACGGAGGTGAAAATGTGAAAAACACTTACGCGTTTAACGAATCAATTGACATTCATTGCATATACATCGTGTTGTAAAAAGAAGTTGATATATTAACAAAGTAAAGTATGATACGTTGAGCAAAAGAGACATAACGAAACGCAGTCTTCAATTATGCTTCTTATATCTTTGAGAAGACTCCTCCATAGAAGCGATCCATAATTCTAACTCCTTGGTTATGGCAGGTCGTTGCGCGTTTGGCTCCAGTTCAGCGATTAGTTCCGAGACTGGGCTCTTCAAATTTGTGACAGTTTGTCTGCTAAGGACAACAGCACGTACGAAGTTGTCCGTCAAACTAATGAATTCATGCTCCAGATAAAAGTGCTTGTCTTCCCAGTATATTAACTGTAACGATTAAAACAAGGTTTTTACTTAGTTGACGAATATCTAAGTATATTGACATTAACGATTGCCTGACTCAAGAGCATTCAAGCTCACCTTCGTAGTAATTTTGTACGGTGTGAAAATAGGAATAGGTCGGCGATATCGAGTCAACGAAGCACCTTGTACTGCGCCCCCACCTCTTTTTGAAGCTGCCGCGTAAATTCCAGAGAGATCATAATAATGGAAACGCGCAAAGTCCAGTTCCCGGAGATATCTGGCATTGTTCATATGTTTTAGAAATAGATCCACATCTTGCGTAGTGCATATACCTGGAAGAAGAAAGAAGAAATGTCGCTCTTTGTCAGTTTTCATCGGCGAAGAAAAGAAAGAAAAAATAAAAGAAAAATAATGCACATGACAAGCAAAAATATCGCAATTCAGACTTCGTCACTGTATTCATTTATAAAGTCATATTACTTACGTACTGTGTGAATACGATTCTATTTATTTTGCATTAAGTAGTCTCATTAAGTAGTTAAATGCATGTTTAATAGGTGTTATGTAGATTTTATACGTAAAATAATGAACGAAATGGATCCACGGTACTAATTCGATATAATTTCTATTTCTATATAT